TTTCCTGGTGGTATTTCTCCATGTTTTTATGTGATAGGACGGCAAATGAGCTCACGTATTACCTGATGGTAAGCAATCAGTGTCGCCCATGGACACCACTGAGGAGTTACGAGTGCGTTGCCGACCTTTTGGTGATTAAGGATTTAGAGATTTAAGAATTGGAGGAGGAGAAGTATTGGGCATCCGGTAACCTCACTCACACGGCGATACGAATTTAATTTTCAATTCTAAACTTTACATACAAATAGATAGAGATAATATCTATATGTACAGTGGCACTGTAATTAACCTTACATACCTACACGACGAAACAAAACTTCAGAGTTGTTTACGTAACAATCGCAATACCACTAATATTGTGAATCAAGCAAAAAAAGTAATTAACAACTTGATTGCAATACAACAGCATTCAACCAACGTCACAACAGAAACAAATAACGAACAAAAAAAAGAAACATTTCAAACGTTATTCCAAAGTTAAATTTAGTACACTGTATTCGGAAATTAAATTTCAAATACATACCAACCGTTAAGACAACTTTGGACGGACATAGCGGCTAACCTTTCGACCTGGCTGTCGGAACTTCCAGTACAAAACTTCACTTCCATACGTTATCTCCATGCACCTGGCTTCGGGACTTGGAACCGGTCCAACTCTTCGAATTAATACCGCTTAGATTTCCACTTACGAGAGAAAATAAAAGAATCGTATATGTAGGTTGTAGGTACCTGTTGTTTTATCTAAAGTTTGTTGAATTTGTTTTGAGAATAAAATTCAGGTACCTATAGACTGCAAATCGGGTCTTATATTTTAGACAAATAGTCATCTTAATTTGTATATATTTAGGAAGTGAATGTTACTTTTAAATTGCCAAATAGTAATGCTTTTTTGGAAGATCCTTCTTACTGATAAGAGAAGCAAGAGTATTAGGTAGGTATATAGGTATGTACCTACCTAGTAGGATATTCAGAATCAGAATCAGAATCAGAGCGTTTATTTGTGAAACATAGGTATTCACATTTAGGTCTTAGGTTATATAATATAGGTGCGCTATGTTTTGCCATGAAGGCGTACAAATTTAATATTAAAATAAAATTAAAGAACTTTAAAAATTAAAAACTACATACATAAGGAAAAAAACAACAAAATTAAACTTACCTACATGTTAAAAGGACCTATTTGTTTTAAACTATTTAATGATATTGAACATGTTTCTGATATTTCAAATTTCAATACCAAATAGACGGTAATAGACTCGATAAAACTTATTTCTGGAAAATATTTTTAAAAAGAAACACGTTTACTTTTCAGATACATTAATTTAAAATAACCGCCACGAGAGCGATTCTCAACAGAATGGATGCGAAGAAATTTCACACAAAAGATTTTCAGCTCTGAATAGACGGAAGGTTTCATCCGCTTACTGTGTTCTTATCTATTGAAGTACAGATGGGAACCGCCTATTCTATTTGTAAGAACGACAGATTACGGAGAAAATTATCTCCTTAAGCGCCTACGTAATTTTATTAGCAAAAAATCTCGTTCTTACGTAAAATTACCTGGAATTTGTAAGTATTTGGTAGGTACAGGTTATACCTTGACTGCCCGGTTGGTGCGGTGGCTGGGCAACTGGCGACCGTCGCGGGTTCGAATCCCGCGCGGAACAACTCTTTGTGTGAGGCACAAATTGTTGTTCCGGGTCTGGGTGTCATGTGTTAGAATGTGAAATTCTATGTTAGTAACCGCACCCACAACACAATGAGAAACTCCTAATCAGAGGCAGCATTTTTTTTTAAAGAAAGGTATACTTGTTAAGTAGATAATATTTAATTTATTTATTTATTTAAATACGTATTGCAGCTTAGTATTCAGTTTTATAGTTTGTAATTACTAAGTAAATATGAACGTCTAGTTTTGTGTAACGGCAGTGAAGCAGTATGTAAACATTCTGAGTGCTTAACGAATTAAAATGCACCTCAATGTGGTACTCGATATTATTTTGTTTCTGTTGACTGTCGATAGGTCAGATTGTTTTATGTAGGTAGGTATCCAGGAAGTTACCTTACAAAAGAACGCGCGTGTTATAACCGTAGCTTTGGAGATTAACTAAGTTCTGACATTACTTATAAGATTGTCGACGGTGTTAGTAAGACCTTTACATACAATCCTTCATTTCGACAGGAGTTATTATCCATTCATCGTATAGATAGGCATCTGTCTGAGGTGAATCATAATTTTGTTATAATACCTACTCACGACGACGTGAAATAGTGTAGCAGCTATAGGTAGTTATATACTCTCTTCTGCACTTCTTTAGCCTTATAAACTCTCTGAACTTTACGATAGTCAAAACAAGCAACTAACTAGGACATACTAATATTAGACAAAAAGGAAGTTTAAAAACAAATGTTTTAATTAAGTTGGGGAAATATTACATACTCCTAGAACAGCTCCTAGTTCTAGTTCAGTAGTTAAGTAATAATACGATGAGAACAGAGTTTATGGAAATTGTTGTACCAAACTTTTAGTCGTCTCCGTCCGTGTGGTAAGCAAGTGAGACACATACTTGAAAACTTAGCGAGGAAGTTAGACATAATAATTAATTATTAATTAATCAACTTTTCGAAGTTATGTAAGCATTTTTTTCTTCAAGTAACATCTTGAAAGTAACCATTCATTTTATAAAATCAGTATTTTTATCAACACATCGACAATATTTATCGTTCGCCATCTATGAATGCTAGATTGCGATTTTTGATGTGATGAGTAACGCCATCTTTTGTCAGACATATAAAGTCATAGGATAAAATTTCGTTTATACCAGACCCTTGCTTAGATTTGGACTTAGTTTGTAAGGTGAGACATAGATGGCGTTGTAAAGTTGAGAAATACCTAATGACCTTTGTTTATAGGTACCTACCTACCAATCAAGTCAATTAACCGTTTCCGTGCGGATGATGCCGCACAGGCACCATGTAAATCTATTGCGTATGGCGTATGGTGCCCGAGAGGATACAAAACTAAATCATACAAAACTCGGCTTAAACGACATTCGTTAAATAAAAGTGTCTTTATTTGTCACCCTTATCATGCCCACAGCAAATTAGCTGACATCAGGGGTTGTAAACCAAGTTGCCGACACATTTTATTATTGATTATAATTCTAAAAGCCCACTTTCTGGAATGTTTCTCAAAAATCAAATGCTTTTGTCATAAGGTTCATTGTTGCCTAAAAACGTACAAAGAGTGCGCTGTTCGCCGGCCCTTCGCCTACGAAGTACCGTATTTCCTTGCGTATACGGTTGATTATTGTTTAAAACTACGCCGTTCATAATTGGCCGGCGCACAGTATAATATTTTGATAAACTAGACGGACAAAAGTCAATTTAGGACATGTCTTAAATGATCCTTCTAACGCCAAAGAATAAAGACAAGCTGCTTTGCTCTGGTATTGGTACAAAATAATTTTGTCCCGCTAGTTTTTCATACTATTACATTTTTTATAGTTCCGCTATCCTTATTCGCTTCTGGTTCCCAATCGTCATAAGTTTGTGAATTCTCATAAAACACGCCGTCGTCGTTGTAGCATTGAGTTTCGACTTCTGATTGAGGAATGTATTTCATTTTTTTTCTGGGTAACTCTACAACAAAATAAAAAACTTGTCAATTAAACGCTTAACAAAAATCCACGTTTTTAAATGGATATACATATTTTTTATCAATAAAAACACATTTACATTCTTATCCAAATAAAACACTTCAAAATCATGTAAATGTTTATAGGTACCTACAAGTACAATATTTTTGATTCATTAGAATCGGACTTCCCATTCAGTTAAATGTTCTACAGTAATCCAGTATTTTGTAGAGAAACAATTTTATCATCAAAATAGTGAAGTTAAAATTGTTTCCCTACAAAACACTGTATTATAAATAATAATAAATAAATATCACCTCGCGACAAACTCAAGTGGTAAGTACGTGTATAAATTCTTTACAACACTTGAATAAATAAATCCATGAAATAATGCAAAAAGGTTTACGACCCCTAATATAAATTAGTCACTTACCTTCCATTTCCATAAAAACACACAGATCGTCACTTTTAAAAGCACTGAACGAATTTACTGACTGCCTACGTTAGATAAACAATGTCAAATGATTATTTTAGCAAGTAGAAACACGAAAACAAGCTAAAAGTGACAATTCATGGCGGATGATTCCCCAGGGGAATCATCAAACTTTCTGGCGCTTGGTGCCTCAGAGGCATCACAGAATTTTTGTTTGACGCCAGGCACTAAAGATTGCTAAAAAGACTTCCGCACGGAATCGGTTAACTTAGGTTTTGGGGGGCGAAAGAGACGGGATGAATGTAACTTGGAAGATAGTTCTATATAGTATGAACTTAGCCCTTTTTTTGCTTGACGTTCAAGTGCCAGCTGTGGTCTATCTGAAGAAGTAGATAAAATGATTTTGACTTTGACCCTTTAAGTGTAATATTCAGGGTTTTATACTACATAAACTAAAAGGATGATGACTAGTCACAACTAGTCAATTCAATTGTTTCAGAAGTAAATAACAATTCATCTGTGAACGTTGTACTCCTATAAGTACTAAATCGTGTATTTTTTACGTCAATTATCTATGTAGATGTTAGGTAGAAAAATATTAAAACAAGGCTTTAAGTCCAAATGATTGTTTTTGTTACTATCCCTAAAGGAGGTAAGAGCAGTCATGTACCGTAATACGGGGTGAATAGAATTCCAGGGGTAAATAGACACGGAATAGGGGTGAATAGATACTAGGAAAATTCGCCAACATCTATTCACCCCTTTCGTGTATCTATTCACCCCGTTTTACCGTATTATATTTATGAATAAACTCTACGCCTAAACTCTTGTAATATAAATATTAAGTTGCAGGAAAGCAGGTGAAGCCGCTAGCAGAAGCTAGCAAGCATAGGTAATGAATCTAGTGACTAAAAAAGAAAACAACAGCAGTATGTTAGGTCTTAAACTTTATTAGGCTTAGCCTTGTTTCTGCGCCAGCTCGCGTGCCTTCGCCTTCTCGAGCTTAGCAATACGCGCGTTGGACTTGTTGCCGAGGACACCACCTCCCCAGTGTTTGCGGAGCTCTTCGTAGCGCTCGTTGAAGTTGGTCTTGATGGCTTCCGTGACCTTTGAGAAGGCTGCACGGTCGCCAGACTCAACCTGGTCGAGAAAACAAATGTTTAGTAACAGGTCTGGGTGCGGTGAAAAATAGCTAGATATAGGTGAACAAATTAAAAAACACAAATATAAAACCAACTGGAACTAAATAAAAACTAAAAAAGATTAACTGAGTAACAAAATATTGGAAAATTAAATCTTATTAAAAACAAAATCCACAAGTCAGATCAACTGAATAATTCCCGTTCCGATTTCTTTATAAACCAAGGAAGGGTTATGTCATTTACTAAAAAGTTGTGTCATAGATGGGCATCCTCAGATAAATCTATTGGTGGTAGAAAGTTTGTCAGCATAGCTGTATGATAGCAAATACATCATCATTACATACCCATCTTACGACACAATAATAAATAATAAGTTATTCTAATATAAATTTGATTGTACATACATGTGTGATTGCTACGCAGGTGCAAGTCTTGCGGTGTACAAGGGCTCCCAGGCGGGATTTGCCCTTGACAATACAGTAGGGCACGCCCATTTTACGGCAAAGGGCGGGCAGGAAGAGGACAAGCTGCAAAAATTAAAGATAATTAGTACTACATCGACTCAGAAAACATTATGTAAAGATTTTGGTATAGCTCAGAGTCAATCATCTTCATGCAGCTAAAAATAATTTTATATTTAAAGCCTCAGGTGAAGAAATTCTAACATCACAGCAAAGTGCATTTTACTCCAAATGTACTGTAGACACAATGTCATTGACCATTACTAAACCCTTATAATCAATAGCTGTTTCTTACTAAATACATAATTCTGTATAATCTTGCATGTACTTGAATTATACAGAAGTTAGATATGTTTATTATTGACTACACAACTTTAATGGCTTTAATATTGTACACAACTTATCTTATGGAAAAATAGCATAGTGCAGTAAAATATAAAAATATAGAGAATTGATAACATACCTCAATGGGGTCAACATCATGAGCGATGACTACAAGCTGGGCCTTCTTCTTCTCAACAAGCTTGGTGACTGTGTTGGTGCCAGCACGGATGGTGTTTGGCCTCTTTGGTGGGGGCTCATCCTTCTTGGCGATCTGAAACAAGTTTCACTGTCATACTCTGTGCATACAATTATGGTAACAATGAAGTTGGTTGTAATCATCAGAGATCTTGGTGGTTACAGGTCTTCATGGCATTCTGAATATTGTATGTATGCATCATGTCAAAGGTTGAAATGTAAAAAATTTAATTTATATTATATTATGTGCTGGGTTATATAATAATGGTATTTGTCTTACCTTAGCTTCAGCAGCCTTCTTCAGACGCTCTTTCCTGACTGCCTCAGTCTCTGGCCTGTATTTCTCCAAGATCTTGAACAATCCCTTAGCTGGAACACACAAACTAAGATTAAATCATTTGAAAGAATGTTAGTTGTGGAGAAAGTAGTTTGTTTTATTCTCAGAGTTAAAAAGCTCGTATATTTTTGTTGATAATCATAGTGATTCATCGTTGCATTTGGTAATCATCATGTTGACACCTAATAGCCTATCATCAGACAAAAAACAGGAATTATTAAATAAATCTGCATTACTATAAACTTTGTGTAGCTATGGTTAGTACTTGAAACCTTGACATAATACAGTTAGTACTAAAGCATGACTGAAAATGTTTTTGATTTATTACATTTAACAGACATAAAACGAATATGGGATTAATCATACCACTTCAATAAGAAGTAAAAACTGCCTTGAATTTCAAGATCTTACCTTGAAATGACTAGTTTTGTTACAATAAACAACTCAAACAATATTTCTTATTTGTAAACCTCTTATAATTGATAAATCCTTTAATTTTACCCATTGCTAACAGGTTCCTTAGTGGCTAATAGAGAATATAAGCTACAATAATTATAAGTTTCACAAACCTGTGGTCTTGTCAAGTGTCTGGGTGAATTGGTTGATTGGTGGGGGCACCTTGAGCCTGCGCTGGAGCACGGCCTTCTGGCGCTGGATGCGGATGTACTTGGGCCATCTGACGAAGCGGGACAGATCCCTTGTGGGCTGGATGTCCTGACCTATGGAAAGCATACTTTCAATTTAATATACTAAATCAAGTTGTAGATATTTAGTTTACATTGTCAGCTTTGTTTGTTTGCTTTATTCAATTTGCTAGCGGTTTTATATGTAGTATTATTGGTATGTAACTGTTCAGTGGTATCTAATTTAATCTTTTTATTTTGTTAACATTTTTCAGAGAACATCATAGATAAGTAATTGAAATGTGGTGGTTATATTTTCATGGTCAAATATAGGACCATTGTTCACAACAAAGACTATGCATTTAAAATATTAAAGTTTGAAACAGTTGGTTTCAATTCAATTTCATCTCATTTCTAGTCATCAAGTTTAGTAATAATAGTAAACAATTATAGGTTATGTTCAACATACCAACATGTTTTTATAGGAATTGGACTAATCAGTGTTAAAAAGCTCGTATATTTTTTAACCACATGGTTATTCGGATTAAAGTTTACATCATTTTAGTCCAACCCTTTTAACCGGGAAAATGAACATCACGTTCCTTTCAAAATTAGAATTTCGAGATTTTAAGTCGAATCCAACTGAATACGGAACTGCCTTACAAAGAAAATGCGGAGTACTTCACTTCGAAAAATAAACACTGATTCAAAATAAATTAAGTCAAATAAACTCACCAATAGCAAAGTTCTTGGTCCTCTTCTCGAATAGTGGGTTCACTATCTTTTTAGGCTCAACTTTCTTCACGACCAGAGGTGCGGCCGCTACTTTCTTGCCTACCTTCTTCTTGGGCTGAAATAACAACAACTATGTAAACTATGCTCACGTGTTGGCCTCGAGAAACTGTTTAACACGTTCTCTTCAGCGATCTTGGTGATAATTTGGAGGTAATCATAGCACTTCAGTGTAAAGTTAACATCATGGCAATATTTGAGGTTATGTTAAGTTTATTTACAACAATGACATGAAATTACAACTGGCTAATTTATTACACTCTTTCTGGTTACTAAAATGCACGACTGACTTGAAATACCTGAATATACGAAAATAAATCGGTATTGACGCCAAAAACATTGGTGGTTCCATTAACATGTTATGGTGTAAACTTCACGAGAAAATCACTTGTTTGAACGAAAATATAGTAATTTACTAAACGCACATGGCTTTTACCTTCTTCTGCACCATCTTGAAAGAGTTTTATTTATGTGATCTAAAGGCCACGAAAAGATACGTGACCTAAAGCGAACACCAAACGTTCGGCGAAAATGGCCGAAACAAAAAGGTTTGACAGCTGAAGGAAACGTCAAACGTAAACGTTGCCACAGATAATACTAGCAACCAGCGATATCATTCACTAAAAACAAAATGGACTCTGAGCTTTTGAGACAAAATATTTCGCATTGTAGCGCTACTGGTAAACGTTATTTTGGATAACAAAAAGATTAAAATCTCAGTTAAAAATATATTTTCATAAATAAAATTTGGAAAAATAAGAACACTTGTTAATTTATCATTTAAATAATAAAAATACTTAACTAGCTATAAAATGTTTTCAATCGTGGTAATTTAAAACACAATAAATAATAGGGATTCTCTTGGAGTTTGTTAAATTATTTTTAATGTTTCACGCAAAATATGACATCACTTTTGGATAACCTCACACAAAATTCATAGTTGTTCAACGTTTTACGTTGCTGGTTTTAGCAATAATCACGGCGCTTGCTCAAGGCGGATAGGTGATTTCAAAGTGTATTTATTGTTAGAAATTATAAGTTCCAAGTTTCATAACTTCAACACGAGATACCTACGGATGGGTTAAATTCCAGACCACCAAGACATTTGTCATCATCACTATTATGCTATTGATTTACTATATAGTAATATAAGGAAATAGGCAAATAGGGCTATTCTTTTTAAGGATTGTCAACTTGGTGAAATAGTGACACAGATAAAAACCTACAAAAATTTAATTTCTAATTCCGTTCTAAAATAACAAATAGGTGATTCACGTTCACGTGATGATAAGCCATGAAGACACCAGAGAAGTCAAAAGTACTTTGCTGGTCTTTGTCAATCACAAGGTGAAATAGGCGACACAGGCGTTATCTTACGCAGGTTTTTAATGAGATCGTGGTAGAGTCATGCCATTCGGTACGAATGGACCGGAGTGATACCATGGTCTCACAGAAAACCGACGTGAAACAACCACAGCGATTTGCGCAGTGTTTTCCTTCCTTCCCTTTCCCCAGTTCCTATTCCCCAAAAGGTCGGCGTGGCACTCGTATCTCTCTCTGTTTTTGCGGGTGTGTATGGGCGGCGATTACTGATCGTTTGCCGTCATATCTCATAAAAAACTCCGGTTGGCTTAGCCCGTAAGTGTCAGCATAATTAAGTCCCTAAAAAACTTCCTTATTCATAAGTGAAATATAGTTAATACAAATAGTTGAACTATTAAATATATATGTGGGTTTAAGACCTCGTCGTCGTGGACCTTTCAAATACGAACAATGTAGTAATAGAATAAAGCCTGAAAATTCGAGGTTTACGCATACAATTCGTTAAGTAACTTAGAAAACATTTTTAGTATCCTTTGAAACAAATGTTTTATTTATTCTGCGTCTTCTACTAAACCTGTTTACTTCGCTTTTACTGCTTACGACCATCAAATTGAATCACGACTCCATTTTGAAATATATTTTAAAGAGAATAGGAAAGCGTCAACCGTTTTATGAGCACTAAAACAAAATGTTATTTTGTTTTTATCAAAAATGTATTTTTCTTTCTCAATGGATTATATAAAGATTTTGCTTGTTATTTTTGGTGAGTATTTTTTTATATTAATGTTCAATATTAGTTATGTTTCTTATCATAATTTAAAATAAATATCCAAAGTAGGTAGGTAGGTAGACCAGCTTTCTTTTTATTAATATAGTAAAAGGTAGATATTATTGTAACAATTCAATTTTTTTTCTCAGCATTCATATCCCTAAATGATGCGGTTAAAGTTAACATGCAAGGATCACTCAGCTTCGGTAAAGAGGTAGTTGATACATTATCACATTACATGCGGAGAAACGCCGGCAATGTGGTAGCGAGGCGACGGTCGATACCGTTCTCTAAAGAAACCGATGTCATTTACATCATTATAAAATCTGCATACTTATGCCGAGACCTAGACTTTTGTGAGGGTAAATTAGAGCAATTCTTAAATGAATACATTATGGTGCAAACGAAATCAATAGAAGCCATTTTTGAAGGAATCGTGAACCAAAATCAACTGCTTGACCAAGACGCAAAAACGGAACAGCGGTTGGTTTTCGAAGAAGATTTAAAGAAATGTTTACGTGAAATAAGGAGAGTATTAAGACAAGCGAATATGAAAATGAGAGACGAAAGTATTACTTATTTGTGGATTGAAGTTATTAAAAAGATAAGTGTTATGTTTCAAACAGCAGCAATTTTATTTGCTGCGGAAAGACTTGAAGGTAAGCCTGACGAGATAATGGAGGTGAAGAAGAAACTGACCCAGAAACTTGTCATCGCCACTACTATAGTTGAAGGGAAGTATGAGAGCAAGCTCTGTTCAGAATACGACATCTGTATCAAAGCTTATGAAGTAACGAAGGCATTGAACACTCTACTAGGGGCTTTAAGAGACATGGAAGAGGAAAATGTGAAAATATTCATTCGATATGTTTCAGAAGCTTTGCTAGAAACGAATTTATATTCTCATTTATCCGAAGTAACCTCTAATGAGCTTCAAATCATCCTGAACGATATGGCATACTCCGAAAACGTATCAGCAAAAACTGTATTGTCGTCGATACAAAAAGCTGTAGAAGACAGATTAAATGCATTGAACTTGAAGACACATATGGTAAACGGAAGAGACGTGGAGTTAGTCCATGTAATATTGTCAGATATGGACCATGTGTACGGGAAAAGCAGTATTGATCCATTCCACGTATTCATGAGCAGTTTCTTTACCTGGGAAAGGACAAAATCTCGGTTAAGCGGTCCTATACGAAGTCTACTTAAAGAACTAACAAATGAAATAAATGGCCTCCCCGACGATTTAGGTTTCAAACTTATCAACGAAGTACGAGCCTTTTTAGAAATTACAGTTGATCCGGAAAATTGAAATAAATGTTGTTTTTTGAATGCATTTTTATTTTACGTGTACCTATATCTATACTATAGGCTCTGATGGTAATACTGAGAGATTTTCGAAAAACCTATTAACTTTGATACAAACTATAAAAAGTCAGATATTGTTTAGATCAAGATGGCGAGATTTAGGAAATGGGAGAGATCCGGAGAGATCAAAGTAAAGCATTGTTACATAATTGACATGTTTCACTCACTTACTGTCACTTCAAAATATAAATGATTAATTTCGACTTTCCAATATCATTAGGTATATACATACGCAGGTGCGTGTATATACTTAATGTGTGTACACAGGTACATATTCAAAAGTAAGTACTTATTTATTCATTCTTTTAACATATATTTGTTTTAAAAAAAGGGATTTAGCATATTAAACTTTCGATATTTTCAAGCTCCTTTTGTATTTTTTAAGACATAATCTGTTGGAAGCTGAAAACCTATCTAATCTAATATCTAGTTGTCATATACACAACATACTTTCAAATAAGTGTTATGTTGAGATAAAGTATTGAATTTATAAAATGGTTGTTAACGTTGTTATTCCAAGAAAACAGCAGTCACATACCAGAAGCAAGCTATTCTCGAAACGTACAAGATATTAAATTCCACATGCACAAGAGACTCAAGAGAGACATAAGTATTATGAAATACTTGTAGGTACCAAGAAGTATTTATTTTCTTCTCAAAAGTGTGGGAAAGCCATGCTTCGGCACGAAAAACCGGTTCACAAAATGTCGGCAACGCACTCGTAACACATCTTTTGTTGGGGGTGTCCATGAACAGCGCTGATTGCTTACCATCAGGTAATCCGTTTGTTAGTTTTCCGATTCCGATCCCATAAAAAAAATATTATGTCAAATATACTTTTATCATACTTGTCAACCTTCAAACTAACACAGTCTATAATTTGAAATTGTCAACTTTCACACTTAGGTCATACTTGTCAACTGTCAGTCTGAGACAGTTTAAAACTCGTTTTATTTATTCTCCTTTTTTACCGCCTGTTAAATCTTTCATAGCTACAAAACACGTCCTGAACGTTTGCTTCTATGTATGATATGTTTCCTGTCTATCTAGACTAGACTTAACTAAACCACTATTCTGCAACCTTTTAGTTAAATTGTAGTTTCTAGTTAGGGTTCGACGTTTGTTTAACTGGATGAGCGAAATTTTACACCTTAAACTATGTGGTAATGCAGCACGCCGCCCCACCAGAACCAGGCCCGAGCGTACGGCGCGTAGCGTTCCGCGCGCGCCTCAAAGAGCCAATAGACCACCACAGACGGGGCCCTAAAGGGCTGATGTTTAGTCGGGGTTGCGGGGTAAGCGCAATGAGGCACCGCGACCTCGGCCCAGAGCAGGAGAAGGAACAGCGGGTTTTTAGTCAGTAAGAGTCTGACACTATCTTCCGCCCGGCCCTGGGCGGGAGAAGCCATATGACGATTTTCCCCTCAAAAAAAAAACTATGTGGTAATGAAACAGATGGGTAGGGAACATACATAATTATAACGTTTTTCAAACATTCTGTGTGACAAGATTCTGTTAATTCAGTTAGGTACCTACAAAACATAAATGTATAATACTTATAATAGTAATGTTGTTCATATGTTATCTTGATTTCAACTTTTACTTACCTACTACTCCCGATTTTCTAATTAAATATAGGTACTTTCAAAAACCCAATCTTAATTAGTTTGAGAACTTAATGCTGGTCTTACTGTCATCATCGTCATCATCATCTTGATCATCATCAGCCTATAAATGCCCACTGCTAAACAAATGCCTCTTCTCACACGGAGAAGGTTTGAGCATTAATCACAACGCTTACTCAAGGCGGATTGGTGATTTCAAACTTATAATTAGAAATTATAAGTCCATGTTTCCTCACGATGTTTTCCCTTCAGCGTAAGTCAGTGGTGTCTAAATAGTCACAGAAAGTACATATAACTCGGAAAAAGTCACATTGGTACTTGCCAGGTTTCGAACCCGCACCCTCATGCAAGAGAAGCCTTATCCTCTGGGCCACCACGACGACTACTGTACCTAGATATACATTCAGTCAACAAAGTATCGGGAATGAATGTTTTTTTTATGGTTCCAAATTCGAATTTTAATTTTTTTTGTTGTTGTTAGATTGGCATAACTGTTTTCCATTTTGGCGCGGAATTTGAGTTGCATCTGTTATTTATATTAAAAACAGTGCTGTTTTTAGTTTTATAATATCTAGTGTGTATTGCGAATTTCATAATGGACAAAAACATCGAACAAAGAGTTTGTCTTAAATTTTGCATCGCCAATGAAATTTCGTGTTCGGAGGCACTCAAAATGTTACAGAAGGCTTACGGTGAATCGACTTTATCAAAAACACGTGCTTATGAGTGGTACAAAGCGTTCAAAAGCGGTCGAGATGTGATGGAACATTTGCCTCGTTCTGGTAGGCCATCAACGTCTGCAACTGAAGTTAACATCGCAAAAGTGAAGGAAATAGTGACTGAAAATCCTCATTCAAGTTTTAGAGAGATGGCCGCCGAACTTTCTGTATCTCACGAGTCGATCCGTACCATTTTAACAAATAATTTGGGTATGAAACGTGTTGCCGCTCGGCTAGTCCCAAAAGACCTTTCTTGGATTTTGCATCACGATAATGCGCCTTCGCACAAGGCCATCATTGTAAACGATTTTTTGTCCAAACACTCAACAAACACCATCGAGCAGCCACCATATTCACCAGATATGGCTCCAGCCGACTTCTTTCTTTTTCCCACACTCAAATTACCCCTTCGTGGCACCCGTTTTCAATCGTTAGAAGACACAAAGGAGAATTCGCGGCGAGCACTGAACTCAATTCCGGAAACAGCGTTTAAAAAAAGTTTCGATGATTGGATTATTCGTTGGCGTAAGTGTATCGTTTCTGAAGGAGCATACTTTGAAGGTGATAAAATAAATTTAGATGAATAACAAACATTTTGTGTATTATTGACCTTTTCCCGGTACTTTCTTGACAGAGTAGTATAATTAATAATAATATACATTTTTTTTACGTTTTTAAAGTTTAAATATTATAAACTAGGTACTTAAGTTATTCTGTCTCCTGCATTAATTTACCGAGGGAAGTGGAAACTATTTCGTTTTATCTTCTCCTCAAATAATAGATATCTTCTGATTTATTTCGTTGCGGGGTCCAAGACAGTCGTTCATATCCCTGGCATATGCTGGAATTCAGCGTTCCTGTGTTTCGTGTGTGTGTGTTTTCGTGACGTTTCATTCAGCGTCAGCGGTTTTGGGAGAAAGCTTGTCTTGTCTAACCTACAAACTTTGGATTTCACACTAAATCACGAAGCCTTTGGATAGATATGTACCTAGCCATTTTCCCAATAAAACTTCAATAATGTTAGCTACCTGTAAAGTTACGTATTTCAGTAAATACATTAAAAACTTTCCAATTCACGTAACTTGTAATTATTCACGGTCGTTTTCCCGGAGGATTCGCAGAGCTAGAGCCAGCCCGATAATTACTTTATTAGATTATGGAACTCTCGATCGTAGCTTGGACTTTGTAATTGCGTCCGGTGTACGAGGTCAGGCTCATTGTGACAAAGCCAACTTCTATTCACCGAGCATTTTAACACGGTATCAGACCGCGGCTACCAAATATCTGACAAATTTCTAGTTCCTTAGTGAGCTTAAATTCCCCGTTTTGTTCAAACGAAATTTGTATGAAATATCTGCCTCATAATTTTGTTGGATGCTTATAAAATATGAAGGTGGTGTAACATCTCACCGTCACACGTCAGGCTATGCCTGTCTCGGCAGTTGCGCTCGCTGCCTGCAGCTGCAGGCGAGGGTGTTGGAGTATTCGGGCCTCATACGGGGCCCGATGTGATCGTGGCGTCGCTAGGAGCCGACTGGCCGGAATGTGAGGGGTTTTAGTTATTAAGAACTTGACATTCCCTCTTGCCTCTTTGAGAGAGGTCATTTGATGATTTACCCTCCTCAAAGAATCTGCAAAAAACACATTGATACTAAACTATAGATATAATTATATCTTATAATGACTAGTCTCAATAAAATTGGTCGCCATTACAGAAAATCTTTCAAGGGACATAATTCCAACATAAACTCCGCATTGAATAGACGTCTAATGCTCCAAATGACTCGAAAACCTCTGAAATATTCAGCTATTACACGGGATGACTGGCTGTAGTATCAGAATGTGAGAGGACTTCGGACAAAGACATCAGATTTCTACAGTAATGTCATGTCATCTTCTTATGATTTCATAGCTTTGACTGAAACTTTTTTAAATAGTTCCGTATATGATTCTGAGTTGTTCACTTCTGATTACACTGTGATACGTAAGGATCGGGCTGGTGACGTTGGTTGGGGAGGTGTCCTATTAGCAGTAAAGAGTTGTTATGAAGTCAAGAAAATTACTAATATTGATAATTTAACTGACGATAAAGAGTTGATATTCGCTATAGTTACACGAAAGAATATTAAATTATTTATTATTGTTGTGTATATGCCCCCGAGTTACAGCTCTAAGCAATATTTAAGTGTCTTGACCTGTATAGAAAATGCTGTTAGTACATATTCAGATCATGATTTTTTAATAATTGGGGATTTTAATTTGAAGTCGTGTTGTAACTCCGTTAAGGTCCAATTTGATGTATTTCTTGATTTCTGTAAACTGCGTCAATGTAACAATGTACTCAACAAATTCGGCTGCATTCTGGACTTAACTCTTACGACCATAATTGCTGATAGAATTAATGTAACATCTGACATTGAGCCGCTGGTACCGGTTGACGCTTACCATCCCCCTTTAGAAGTATATATTACACTCTCACCTCAAGGACAGTCATACACCAAACCATTAAATAAGAAACGAGTAAACAGATCTGACATTGAATGGAATTTTCGCAAAGCAGATTTTCAGGGTTTATATTCTAATATAGCTAGTCTAGACTGGGTAGAGGTTCTGCAAGAGCCAGACATCAACACAGCAATAGATACATTTTACAATAAGTTAATTAAGGTAATTAATGAGCATGTCCCCCGTAAAAAATCTGGTATCAATAATAAGTATGTATATCCGGTATGGTACACAGGTGAAATAATACATTATATACATTTGAAACACTATAACCTAAAAATGTTTAAAATACATAATCTGGAATTTAACAAAGAAGTTTATAAATATTACAGAAGTAAAGTAAAATATTTGATTAATAGGGCTTACAAGAAATATATAAACACGGTTGAAAGTAATATAACTACAAATCCATCCTCGTTCTGGCAGTATGTAAAAGACAAGCGGTCAACGCGGCAACAGGGCAAAGAGTTTGTTTATAACAACGAGATTGTTGTGGGCCAAGACGCTGCTGATGCATTTGGACAATACTTTGGCTCAGTTTTTCATAACCGTATCCCGATACTGAGTCCAGAGGCAGCCGAGAGAGATGCAACTGACTGTGGTTCCATATCCAAAATAAGTATTAATAAGATTAATGTTGTAGACTTAAGAAAGGCCGTTCGTAGGCTTAAGACCTCGTCCGCGTATGGTCCTGATAACTTGCCTGTATTTTTGATTAAGGACTGTTTAAATAGTTTTGAGTTGCCTCTCCTCTATTTGTACAATCTCTCTCTGCAAAGTTGTGTCTATCCTAATAGATGGAAGGTCTCAAAAGTGTCCCCTGTACCCAAAAATGGGTCGTCGATGGAGATCACTACTTTTAGACCTATTGCAGTCTTATCCGTTCTTGCAAAGCTGTTTGAGTCAATAATCAATAATTCTATAACCAACCAGTTGTCGGGTCTTGTTAATGAGAGCCAACACGGTTTCCGACAAGCACGCTCTACACTGACTAATCACATCACATTTGTAGACTACGCTGCTAATAATATGATAGCAGGTGGTCAAGTTGATGCTGCATATTTTGATTTCTCCAAAGCATTTGATTTGGTCGACAATGACATTCTTTTAACTAAGTTTGCATCTCTTGGTTTTTCATCGGAACTTCTAAGATTCATGGCAGATTATCTTAGGAACAGGAAACAATATGTAAAAATAGGCAACTTTTACTCGCAAGAATACTACACAAGGTCGGGTGTAAGTCAGGGCAGTACACTGGGACCAACACAGTTTCTTATCATGATCAATGATTTACCTAATGAACTAACGGACACAGAATGCCTCATGTTTGCCGACGATCTAAAATTGTTTCGATCTATTTCTAATGTCTCGGATTGTGAACATTTGCAGAGGGATATTGATGCTGTTGTTGCATGGAGCGAGACTAATAGATTGGCATTTAATGCATCCAAATGTAAATCAATCACTTTTACTCGATCCAAATCACCTATTTTAGTGTCATACGAATTAGCAGGTTCCCCACTAGAACGCGTTAGTACTATACGGGATTTAGGCGTAATACTGGATTCGAAATTAAATTTTCATGAGCACATAATTAAAATATGTAAAGACGCTAGCAAAGCTTTAGGTTTCGTAGTCAGAATGTCCTCAAGTTTTAATAACCTTAAAACCATGAAACTTCTATACAACGCATATGTCCGCAGTAAGCTCGAGTATAATTCAATTGTATGGGATCCACAAGAAAAGTTATATAGCGTCATGATCGAAAAAGTGCAACGTAAGTTTGCACGTTTCATATACAAACGCGAGTACGGATATTATCCATTTTTATACCCTTCAATATTCGTCAGTGGTATGGTGGGCTTAGACACGTTGGAACTCAGGAGGAAACATGTACATATGTTGCATTATTACTATTTATTAATTGGTAGAATAGATAATCCATCTGTACGTGAGACCATTCATTTTTATGTTCCCGATAGATATTTACGTGGTTCTGGTAGGAGGCGTCACCGGTTACTTGCTTCTTCACCGAGTTGGCGCTCCCCTCACGGTGGTAACTGTCCTACAGGTCGGGCGGTTCCTATGTTGAATGATTTCCTACAGCGCAACCTAGATGCAGACTTATTTTTTGATGGTGTCAATATTATGTCAAGACACATTTTAAGATATTTAAATAATTTTAATTAATGTTATTCTTCTTTTAATTATAATAATTTTGTCAAATTAATTTTATTTTTTCTATGTAAATTTTATTATGATATTTATAGTATAACATGGTAAATTTGTATAACTGTGATAATTGCAAAATATAATCTCATTGATGCACGTAATTTAATGTAAAGTAGATATACTAGATTTTCATAAATGTTTGTAATTTAATTTAAGATAACATTTAGACGACTTGGTCTCGTACTGTAAGTCTATTTTGTTAAAGTTATAAATAAATAAATAAATAAATAAATAAATAAATAAATAAATAAAGTAGGTATTGACTACAATATTATTTATGTATTTATATATATTTATTATTACTACTACAAGTATGCTAATAATAATAATAAAATAAATGTGAAAAGTTTGTTTGTTTGTCTATTTTTCATCATCATCGTCATCACGGAACATTTTGCCATCCCTAACCTGGGTGACCTGGGTGAAAAATCACTTTACTGCTCATTATCCTTCAAAATATTTGCATGTTGCTTCCACATACCTAGTTGGTAGGCAGAAACAGCGAACAACAGGATCCTTAACCTTCTATACTACCTATCACTGAGCTGAATACAATTATTCTCTATCTGCCTGCTTAACGAGCGTGAGTTTTGCCAAATCCATCCTTATAAACTTTATAATTAGGTATATTGTTCCGCATTGCACTTATTTCAGGTGATGATGGTGATAGGTCCCTTGAATAACTCTTTTAGAACCATGCTGATACAAAATTACTATTCAATGGATGTTACTGTATAATAAGTAGATAACTTATCTATACTAATACTAATACTAATCTATACTAATATTATAAAGAGGTAAAAATTGTAAATTTGTATGTAGGGGGTAATCTTTGGAACCGATGGTCGGATTGCCAAAATTCTTTCACTGATAGATAGCTACAATGTTCCTGAGTGCTTAGGCTATAAAACATCACGTTACGATTAAATGGAGTCGAGCAGCGGGTGGAACCGCGCGAGAGAAGCTAGTATAGGTAGGTATTAATAAAATAATATTTACTTATTAAAGAAAGAGCGATTGAAGAGGAAGGGAACCGCATCAAAATCCGTTGCGTAGTGTTAAAGATTTTAGCATACATAGAGACAGATAAAGTGACTTTGTTTTATACTAGGTAGTGAATTCAATACCGAAAGATCAAGGACAAGGACGGGCAAGGAATAACACCAGAGCGAATTCGAGCTAATCAATCATTATGATGGTTTTGAATGCGGGGATTATTGAAAAACTTATCTTATGTATAAAAATGGATCGCAAAATGTGTAGGTAAGCGCATAACTCAATAACGCCTGGACCAATTTAGCTAATTCTTTTTTTGGTGTGTTTGTTATTGTCAGGAGAAGGTTTTTATCAAAGAAAATATTAGAAAAGTAGAGGGGAAGATTAGGAAAAGGGGAACCTTTGATAGCGAGTTAGTTGGACCCGTGCGAAGCGGGGGCGGGCCGCTAGTTTGAAATAAATATATATTCAATTTCATTTTTATTACAGAAATGTGTAGACTGTGTAGCTAATGTAAGAACGTTCACGTTTATGTATGAGAATGTTAATACATACCTATATAATAATAATACAATTTAAGAATTTATTCTAGGACAATGACCTTTTCAATTCTTTTCTAAAATGGAAATCATGCTGGGTCTGCAATAATAAAATCTAACTAGGCAAGAAGTAATATGTAATTGGTATATTAGCTAACAGTTAGGTGTTCAGCCGGGGTTGCGGGGTAAGCGCAATGAGGCACCGCGGCCTCGGCCCAGAGCAGGAGAAGGAACGGGGGTTTTTAGTCAGAGAGTTTGACACTCTCTCTCGCCTTACCCTGGGCGGG